AATAATTTAATATATCATGATATAATTAATCAGTTTAATTCTTCGTTCTGGAATGAAAACAAATGGTTTTTTACACATCAACATCAATGGAAACACCGATTAGATACTGGAATTTTTTATTCAACTGGTCCATATCGGTAAATAGAAATTAATCTCTTATACAAAAGAAATAGGATAATAATAATGTCGAATTTGATTTCTCTTCAATAGAAAAACTACTGAGAGAAAATATTTTCTTTCGATAGCTTTCTATTGAAAACAATTACTCGTTTATCATTATAGATTATTCTTTATTTCATTTATTTAGAAGAAAATATTATATGTATTATATGGAAATAGATGAAAAACTTGGTTTACATCATCAAAGAGAAAATTTCAAGTCAGTCAAACATCTTTATATTGAACATAAAATAAAATCAAAGTGTCGAAATTATTTTTCAAATGTTAATCGATTAACTATTGGATATGATGTTGAAATATTAGATGATAATTCATTTATAACAAATCTTAAATCTATGATTTCTTTAAAACAATTTACAAAATTAGTTATTAACATTCGTCGTTTTCCATTCGAAGAAATTATTAAATTATTATGTTTAACACCTAATTTACACACATTACAATTCGATGAATATTCTTTGGAAGAAATAAATTCAAATTTCACTAAATACAATACACTTGTACAAGATATATTAAAGAAAAATAAAATTGAAAATTTAGTTCTTACTGGTAGATGTTCATTGAATCAAATTCGATTCATTATTTATGTATTTTCGAAATTAAAATATCTTGAAATTGATATAAATAGTACAAAAATATCATCAATAATTCAATATTTATTATCAAAAACTCATAATCAAGCACAACATTTAGTTTATTTATGCATTTCATGTATTGGAGAAGTATACTTAGAAGAAACAAAAGATTTAATTAAATTAAAGAATTTACTTGATAATTACTCTATTGAATACATTAATCACAGTTTACATTTATGGTGGTAAAAATTTAGTTTTTTAAGACTTGTTCTATTTATTTATTTTCTTGTTATATATGATAACGATAGTTTTGTAATTCAATTAATAAATAAATCAGAGATTGAAATTTCAATAAATATATTTATGATTTACAATTGCACCAAATCAAAAATAATCATCCATATTAAAATGAATGTTTTTTTAGAGAATTTGACAAAGAATAAATTATAAAATCTCGAGAAATTGAAATTTATGGAAAGTATTGTTTTTAATAACTTTCGAGACCGAATATAAGGAAAAAAATAGGAGTTTTTCCAATTTTGGTGTCAAATGATATCATTTTGTGGAATATATGTATATTTTAGGAAAAAGAAACATAGTGAGTGTACTTTGAAATCAAAGTTTTTTTTGAACTGTTCCAATACGGACCTTAGTAATGATAGATAGACTTAGAAGATTCTGAAGCATTCTAGAATCTTCATGACCATACAAATGACTCAAATATTTAAAAAAACACGGACCTGTATTTTTTGCATAAGTATAAGATTATACAATCTTTATCAAGGATATTTTAACCAATAAATAGGTTGTATTAAAAAAAACAAAATATACCGCAAGATGTAGCGTGAAAAGCTCTACAATTTACACACTAGAGCTGATTGTAATTTTTTTCAAAAAAAAAGAAAAATTCTTTGTGATCAAATTTCACACGGTTGAAATTTGATTGTTCCAAATTTTGTCTATTTCGAAAACAAAAAATGCAACTGTAAGACAAGCGATCTTATGTAAATTGTAGAGCTTTTTACGCTGCATCTTGTGGTATATTTTGTTTGTTTAATGAAAGACATCTAGAAGTCATA